ATAAATTGCCTTTGGATTTTTCGGATACCCCAGCTGGATTATTTACAAATCGGAGTGAAGTGGCATCTGACTTTAATGTGATGACCTATCAAGTCAAGGACAAGCACGGAAACCAATTAGGGGATATACAAGGGGCAAAAAAGAAAGATGAGACACAAAAACAAAACCAACAAGATCAATCTACAGAGCAGAATCAAAACCGACTAGTTGATACACAATCTGTAGAAAGGAAACCAGGATGGAAATCAAACCCGCAAAAAGAAAAGAAAAAAAGAAATAGGTTGCATAAAAATAGAAATTTCTAAATCAAGCAACAGTGAAGCCAGTGACTTTAAAAATGAATGAGTATGTGAAAATATAGAGGAGGCGACGTATTGGTCAATATTATCCTGAGGATGGTGACAGGCCTCTGCATTGCCGTAATTTTGGGATGTGAAAAGAGCCTCAAACTGATGGATTTTAATTATCTACTTTGGAACTCCTTTTCGTGCTGATAACTATATTATAATTATCTTGAATTATAAGGCAAAAGAGTCATACTGGGGCATGCAGAAGATCTGGTTGTTACCCACTACGATGATGGGAATTAATAATCCTGATGAAAGCCACAATTATTACTACATGGAATATAACTATAATGTCACTTGGGTGGTTGTTTTTATTTTCATATATATAAGAGGATATTTACTACTGATGGGGGCAGATATGACTGAAGATTTTGAATATACTGTTGCATCAGCAAGCTATGTTACCCTATTATGGATGATGGTTTTAATAATCCAGTGGAAAGACTTTAAAGAAGATATCATACGGATTATAAATTTAAAGTTATTGTCTTTTCTTTTTTATTTAGATATAATGGAATATATATACATATACTTTTAAGTAGAGTGGGCAATGAATTAAAGATATTAAGAATTGTTGTGTATGATAATTTTGCAGGACAGTGGGTGAATAAGCTAGTTTGCAGACTGATTAGTTTAAGAAAAGGGATTTTTAAGTGATATGTTTAGGGGAGTGGAGGGAATGGCTAGAGGGGAATAAATGTTAAATTAGGTTTTACGGGGAGGGCCACTTTGAAATGCTATAGTAATATATATAGATTAAATGTTAAAGTAGGACTTATTGTATAGTTTTAAAGTGGAAGGTGGTTTTGAATTGTAATAATATATAGATACAAGCTTGGGAGAGGAGAAAAAGGGTAGATTATTGCCAAATTGGGAGTTATAATACTATTTTGCTAAATTAGAAGTTATTATACAATGTTATAGTATAATGTCTTTTTTTTATTATTATTATTCCTTTCTTGAAATGTATGGATAAAGGGGGATGTTATAATATTAATAATATTTTTAGTAAGTAAAGGTCAGTATTTAGAGGAGGGGGTAAGTAATCTGTTATGAATTAGGTTTTTTGTTATGAAGAAGTCACAGGGGGGATGGTGTGGGGAGGGGGGTTAGGGAGGGGGAGCGGGAGGGGGAAAAAAGGGGGAAAAATTTTGTATTTGAAAACTTTTTCAATAAAAAAAAAAAAAAGAAAGAAAGGAAAGTGATCGGTATTTGTTTTTCTTGTATAGATGGGTGGGGTAAAGAAGCAGGAAATCTACTGATCTGATGATAAGTACCATGTTAAAAACAGTCCAGACCAAAAAACGGTAGAATAGAGTAAGGGATTGATATCTGAAAAAATATATTAAACTGGCTCCATTTCCAGTGCCAATAGCTTAAAATTGATGTGGGGAAATGCCCTATCTAGATAATATATTAAAGTGTAAGATATCACACTAAGAACAAAAATAGGTATTGTCACATCGATGATTTTTCCAGTTGTAACATGATTATGAAAACTGGGTCAGTGGATCAGTGGTGGGATTCAAATGTTTTTACTGCCGGTGGCTTGGTGGGCGTGGCATGGCTTGGTGGGCGTGGCTTGGTGGGAATGGCAGGGGAAGGATACTGCAAAATCCCCATTTCCTCCTGATCAGCTGGGACTTGGGAGGCAGAGAATAGATGGGGGCAGGACCAGTCAGAGATGGTATTTACCAGTTCTCCGAACTACTCAAAATTTCTGCTACTGGTTCTCCAGAATTGGTCAGAACCTGCTGAATACCACCACTGGAGTGGATGGAATAAATGAAGAAAAATATTTTGCAAAATTGGAGAAGACATGTAAGAATATCTTTGACCACAAGAAGAACAAATCAAGTAAAATGTGAAATAATTCTAGTAAATAATGTTCAGTTAGTAAGTTCTTACCATTAGTAAGAAAGTAAAGATTCTTGCTTGAAAATCTTGAAAGGTAAGGCTTCTTGTCTGAGAGTTTGTGCTGATCAACTGGCCCCCATCTTCATCCTCATCTTTAATAAAATCACTGGAGATGTGTTGTGTCCCTTCTTGCTTCAAGTGCTCTACTATCATCCTGGTGCCCAAGAAATTCTCCATCAAGGAGTTAAACAACTACAGATCGGTTGCTCTGACATCTGTAGTTATGACCATGCCTCACATTGGCCATGCATGCTGTCAGTAGCTGGATAAAAACACAAAGGTAAGTGGAGCAATTTACATGCACTGCTGGGCCCTGTAACCAGCCAAGACCTCTTGGGATTGGTGGGGTGGGTGAAGGCTCCAATGCTGTAGCAGCTTTGCATGCACCGGGGGCTGGATGGGTAGCTGAGATGGGAGGAGATATGGGCTGGGGCAATTGCAGCATCCCTGTAGTCAGTTGTAAGGGCAGATGGACCATTAAATGCCTGAATGTTTATTATGTGACTGTGGAGGGTGCTACCATCACTGTAACTTTTAATCCAGGTCATAAATCCCTTCATTCATCACCTTTGTAAGTTTGAACAGTCGTTGAATAAAAAATTGTTAAGCAAGGACTACCTGCAATATGGAGACATTATTGGAGAAGTTTCCAGTATTTTGAAAAACTGAAGACAATCAAAAAAGAGTCTGACAGAAGAGAATATATATAGATATTATCACTAATGACATATGCATGAACCTATGGGAATTCAGATGAGTTACTAACCAAAATTATATCAGTTCAAATATGAAGAGCTGAAATCAATTCATTGAATAAACAACAAAAAATGGATAGTAGACAATTAAGATTTAACAAAGGGTGGAATGATTTAGATCAGCAGTTCTTAAATTAGGGAACAAAGCTTCTTGACATGTTCCAACTGAACCTTTTTCCAACTAAAGTTGGAAATTTCCTAATTATCATCAGTTGTCCTTTAAAACAGGAATCCTTCATGAATAATTTTTCCTCAACTTTCCATTCATCTAAATCAGTCATTTTCATTAGAATCTCAACTCCCCCACTTTAAAAAAATGATACTTTTTTTTTTCAGGATAGCTGGCAATTCAGAGATTCAAATTTCAGTGCTTCGCTTTTTGTTTTGTGAAAGTTCTATCTTTGGAACCTTATCCAATATGCTACCCAATAGCATTCTTGAAGTCCAAAGTACTTTTGAACTACATGCACTAAGTCTTTACTCCAGAAAAGTAAATTCCACTATTTGTTTGTTTTTTTTAATTACAAGTAATGATGGACTGTCTGCTAAAAGGAAGCAAGGATATGATATACACTTGAAAGAAAACTGGGATGCCTGTAGTTATGGAGTCTATCTGGCAAGAACAAAGAATGTTTATTCACAGAGAATATGCACGTTGAACCGTTGTAACAATTCTAGGTGGTTAGAGGATTGATAACAGTAACAAAGAGTTAGATATCCTGCATACGTCAGCTATAAGTTAGAAAAAGGAATCACCTGGAGCAAATAGAATATGTATTAGAGAACTCCTAGACCATCCATTAGCCAAGGCTTAGGAATAGGGATGGCTAGAGACCAACAGAACAAATCGTTAGATCATTACTAAGATGATATTTCTTATATATCCCACTTTGACCTGCCTTCTGCTTTAGTGAAATTGTATAAACTTTCTTAATCCTTTGTTCTGGGTCCTGGCATTTTGCTGCCTGGGACCCCTTTTGCTGAAGCACTTCAATAAAAGGAAACAAAACCTGCAGTTAGTGTCTGGTGTCTTCATGAGCTTCGACACCAGGCTCAGACCCGAACTGGGGATAACACTCTTTTATGCCACTTAAATAACAATAGCAAAAAAAAACCACCCAAAACCCACAATTTAAAGGACCAATCACATTTTAGGACAATATAGAGGGAACTGTTGACCAGCATATTTGCCCTTTGTTATTGAAAGCAACATGAAGGCTCTAAGTACATTTCTTTAGTCTAGGACTTAATTGGCACTACTTAACTAATGGAGAAAAGGACAGTGGGAGGCATCTTCCTAGAAACCCTTTCCAAAATGACCAGCGGGAAAATCAACTACCATTTTACAAATTCTAAAAATTGGGACATGAACTGGAGCTTTTGGAGCACTGTAGAGATTATAGGTTCTGTTATTCTAAGAAAATAAAACTAGTCCTGACTTATATGGAATTGATTTATTAGTCTGGTCTAACTTTTGGGACTTAAACCAATTGTACAAGTTTGAATCTGCTTCCCCCTCCACCCTTTTATCTTCATTGAAAACATGGAGAGGTTTAGCTGAGATGTTTACTCAACTAATTTCATGGCACCACTTAAGCCCTGCTTCTCTGACCATTGAGCTTTTCCTCCTTCAAAGCCATTCCCCATTCCTTCTACCTACAGCCACTGATTAAAAAAAAAATACTGTGTGTGTGTCACTATATTATGCCTGAAATGTATGTGATATTTCTTTGAAGAATAGCAGCTTTTCATATGAAAATAAAATAAAACTATCTCATTCCTACTCCAAATGTAATCACTCTGCATAATTTTTTTCCATCCATGCTAATTTAAGTTGACATTGAATGCGTTGTTCTCCTTCTTAACCCTGATCTTCTCTTTTTCTAGGGCAAGAGGAGGTGATAATAACAAAGGAAAGGAAGTAGATGTTTTGCAATAAAGTACATAGTGGTAATACAAGACACTTCATTATAAAATTTTACTGAGTCAGAAGCAGATAAATAAACAGGTGAGCTTGTTACTCTTTTGAGTGTTTAATGATTTTAAAAAATGTTTTATGTTGTTAATTTTGATTACTACGATGTTACATAGTGTAATCTATTTGTATGACAAAATTCAGTTGTGTCACACAGGCAAGCTGCTTTGGCATTGAAATGTCTAAAAGATAAGATCATGTAGTGAACATTTACATCCTTTAAAATATGTCTTATGTGTTGCTACTAAAGCTGTTATTCATGCCTAAGCGCACAAGTTTATGTTACTTGTGTGTGTGTGTGTGGCATTAATAAGTCAAACTTATCTGTTCAACTATATCTTTCTGCCTGTCTGTTTATCTACATATCTATCCGTTGGAGGTTGCTTCAACCAAACAACTTCAAGACATATTTGAAATTGCAACTGCCAGAATTTCAAATCCACATTTGAGTGCTAAATGTCATTGTGAAAATTGACTATACTCTTATTTAATAAACATTTAGAGACATGAAACAGCTCTGTCATGTTTGCTGATTAAGTCACACAAAGTATTCAATTTTTACTCATTCAGAAACAGGTCTTTGTTGCATAAATCTTTGGGACCAACATTTTTATAGGCTATGGTAGAGATCTAAAAAAATACTATTTCCTACAATCTACCGGTCTGCCCCCACCCCACAAATAAGTCCTGGATATTAAGGCATATACACGAATAATTATGACAGGTTTTTTCCCCCCAATATCTGATAGCTTTCTGAATAAATCAGATTTTTAAAAACAGTAGCTAGAAATCTGGGGGTGGAAAGGTATGGAAGGGAAAGGACATGAAGATCGTTCACAATTATTTTAAAGACCTGGAAAAATTGCTCTAGATTTGTTAATTCTTTGGAAAGGATGGGACCTTAAGTGAAGGTAGCTGATGAGAGGTGGCAGTGGTGGGAATGGACAATGTAGATGGGGAAGAGAGAGAGAGTGCTCTTGCTGCTGCTTCCTATCACACCTCTGTCCATCCCTATGAGCTGAAGCATGAACTGTTTTGGAATAATGCTAAATCCATGTTCAAAAAAAGTCTGAGCACCAGCTCTGATTTGGCATACATACTTTCAAAGGAACCCTGATTACCAGCAGATATCAGCAGATTGCCAAGTTTCCTTCAGACATGGTTCAGTGCTGTTCAAGAATATTGTAACTTTTTATTTATTTAATTGTTGTTAATCTTAATTTTAATGCTTTTAATATTTTTATATTTACAGTATGTTCTATATTATGTAAGCCATCTAGAGGCACTCAAGATAGTGACATGGCCGGCATATAAATTTAATATAATAAATCAATTTCATCTCTCATCTCTTCACCTTTCATCTCTTAATCAGCAAACATGAGAGATGTTTGGATTTCTTTGAATGCACCGACAAACAACATTTTTACTATCCACAGAAGTTTTGACAAGCTAGAAGGAAAACCAGCTAGAAGGTTTTGACCAGCTAGAAAGAAAATATCTGCCTGACTGCCCTTAAGTGGTTGAGGGGTTAGTGAGGAAGGAAGTTTTAAGTTATTAGACCAATAAGTTCAGTCATCGGTCACCTTAAGGACTGTGAAGCAGATGTTTTCCTTTTAGCTGAAGAAGTTTGAGAAAAATGGAGGGAAGCAAAGCTGAGAGGAATCTACCAATCCCTGTTGCTAATGCACTCCATATGGCACTATTTATCTGAGTTGTCTTATTTATTTATTAGTTATTGATCCAATTTATATAGCCACCCATCTCATTAGAAGGGACTCTGGAGAGTATACTTTTGGAAGCAGGATAAGTGGGGCAGCAAATGTTATATCAGTGTAGCTCATTCGGAAGAGCCCTAACCTATGTAAATCAGTGGCAGCCAGATGCATGTCTAGTAATCTACAAAGAAACCAAACCTTCATCCAGGCTGTGGTAGCTTCACAGTTTTGATGAATCTGTCCAGAAAGGTACTTCAAAGCATTTTACTGAATAATTGCATGGACCGAAATCAGGCTATGGCAGGGGTGTCAAACTGGATGCGTCACACGCAGGCCACGCCCATCCCAGTTCTGCAAACAGTAAAAACCTTGTGAAATGTCACTTGGCGGCAATGTGACACCATACGTTTGACACCCCTGAGCTACGGAATGCTCTATGCACTATGGGAGGATACACAATGTCTTAAGCGCTTGTCTTTGGGGCACCTGTATCAACCTAGCTATTCTGTTAAACATGTGATTAAGCTTGAGTTCTTACTGCTGCTGGATTTCTTTTAGTCTGATTAAGTTTTTTTGTAATTTGCTTTTCTAGGTCACACAATACATTCTTTGTTAGCTCATAGCACCCAAAGGAGTGTATTCAGTAGAAAAGGAGGATAAAAATCTTGAGGCTTCAAATGTATCACCTGAGGTATCTGCTTCAGTCTTCCTGTTGTTTTTGTTAGTAATCTTATCTATTAATCATCTGAGGTTTGATCGGGATCTTCCTGCGATAGTGAATGTGGCATTTCTCTGAACAGAGTGTCCTTGTCCTTGTCTTTCAGTTTCTCCAGGGCATCCAACCATTTGGAGCTAGAGAGCTCTCCACTTGCATAATCATGTATCAGGAGTTACTTTCAGACTTTCTTGCAGGTTTACTTGTCCCAAGGGATTCAAAAGCTTTCAGAGAAAACATTGAATTAATTAGCACCTTCATTCACTTCCTACTACAGAAGACTTCTTTTCAAATTTTCCTTTGGTGTTTGGGACAAGTAAACCTTTAGTTCACTCATGGATGTATGGAATACTTATCCATTCTTAGTGAAATAGTGTGAAGAAAGAAGATGTCCCAATGCCATGTACATCACAACAACTTAGTTCCCATTTTTATCTTTTTTCTTTTCATTTTTTTTTTTTTGCATGTAACAATAACAGGAAAATTGGGTGATTTCTTAATATTTCCAAGGCATGTCACAATCATACTGAGCTCAGCAAATACATGGCAGAAATAAACAACAAGCCATACAAGCAATGTACCCCACTACCCTTGTTCTCACATTATATTCTAGCCTTCCTGTTACATAAGTTCTAAATAAACCCCAATAATACAAGTTACTTATTTAAAAATCTACTTGGAATTTCAGGATAGGAATGAAATATTAACAATCAATAGGGTGTCCCCATATTTTTAATAAAATACATAAAAGTAATAATTTACACACACACCCTTCTGAATTATATATGGGAAAGAAGATACGCAACATTACTTGATATAGAAAAAGATTTTAGAATAGCTGCAGCAATGAAGAAAAGTTTGTGGAGCCAAGTCACCCTTATGGACGGAATCAGAATTGATGCCTTTTTTTCCCTTTCTTTTATTTTTATTTATAAAATTTATACAGGTAGTCTTTGACTTACAACTGTTTATTACTGACCATTCAAAGTTACAACGGGACTGAAAAAAGTGACTTATGACCAGTTTCCACACTAACGACCTTGGCAGCATCCCCATGGTCACATAATTAAAATTCAGGTACTTGACAACTGACTCATATTTATGATTTATGATATTTATGACCTTCTGACAAGTAAAGTCAGTGGGGAACCCATATTCATTTAACAGCCATGTTACTAACTTAACTGCCCTGATTCACTTAACAACAGTGGCAAGAAAGGTTGTAAAATGGAGCAAAATGCACTTAACAAATATCTCTCTTAGCAACATAAATTTTGGGCTTAATTTTGGTCGTAAGTAGAGGACTGGATTTATGACTGCTTGCTTAACGACCATTCAGAATTACAATGGGCCTAGAACAGGTGCATTGCGAACTATAAAGCACTTCTGGCTATTGTAAAATGTTGTGCCCTTCCTTCCTCCTCATGGTCATGTTACTGTATTTTGGGCACTCGGCAAAGCAGCTTGCCTTTACAACCAGTTGTAGCATCCCAGAATCACATAGCCATGATTTGTGAATTTTCTTTATGTGAGTTTCTGGCAAACCCCGCCCCCCCACCTATTTGGGAAAATAGGTTCGCGCTTATGACTGCATTGTTTGCTTAATGACACGCAAAATGATTTGCTTAACAACCGATGCAAAATGTTACAGAATTGGATCCGGTCATGTGGGGCCTTGATTTATGACGGTAATGACTTTCAAGTAGAAATCTGGTTCCAATTGTGGTTGTAAGTGGAGGATAACCTATAGTTTCACAAGTCATAGATAACATAACATCTGAACCACATAAGTCACTGCCCACATACTACTCAGTAGATTGAAGGGTGCCACCTTGCACCTTTGTTATGAAAAAGCATTGCTTCAAAATAATTTTTCATCGTTGTGGGAGAGGCTGCCTGTTTTCATCCATGCTGTGTGAAATCTGCTCACCGCAGATGGTACATCTAGCCGAGCAAAAGCTAAAAGATAACAGATGAATACAGTCACATTTTATACATAAAGATTCAACAGACAGCCTTTGCTTAGAGCTGCTATAAGATAGGAAGGAACCTGTTGCTCTTCGAACACTGATTCTTGGGACTTTTCCACCATTTTTGGCAACACTGACAAAAGATGAGGAGTTGCAATTAAGCAAAACTTAAATGCTACAGATTACTCATATTTAGATCAAGGGTCAGTCATCACTAACTCTCTTCCCTTGTTTGTTGCAGTCACCCAGTTTCTAATTTTGTATAAAATAGGCAAGCAAGCAAATCAAAAGAGGAATATAGAATGAAGCATCTGCACCCTCATGTGAATTTTCTTTTCAGTAGTTGACAACGTATGAGTCAGAGCTGCATGAGACTATATCAGTTCTTTTTCCATCTTTTCCCATGTAGGGATTCTTTAAAAAATATTTCAATATTTCTATTTTTTTAAAGTATATTTCCATTTTTATTGAAGGGTCATGGAAATCCTCCTGAAAACTAGAATGCAATCTGGGGTGAAATTAGAAAATGTCTGGTATTCTCCAATACCTCTGACTACTATAGGTAATCCTTAATTTACAACCACAATTGAGTCCAAAATTTCTGTTGCTAAGCAAGACAGTTGTTAAGTGACTTCTTCTCCATTTTATGAACTTTCTTACCAAAGACATTAAGTGAATCACTGCAGTTATTCAATTAGTAACATGGTTGTTAAGTGAATCTGGCTTCCCCATTTTTTTTTGCTTGTCAGAAGAAGATCACAAAACAGGATCACATGACTCTAGGACACTGCAACTGTTATAAATATGAGTCAGTTGCCAAGTCTCCAAATTTTGATCATGTGACCAAGGAGAGGCTACAACAGTGTGAAAAATGGTCAGAAGTACTATTTTCAGTGTTGTTGTAACTTTGAATGGTCACTAAATGAAGTGTTGTAAGTCAAGGACTAACTGTACTTCCAAAAGTCACAGATAGCATAGAGAGGAAATATAGGAGCTGTACCTCAGAACATATGGCAACACATAAACTACTTCCACAGGCATCTAAAACTTATGTAGAGACAATAGTTCATCTAGATCAAATTCAAGGCCCACGGGCTGCATATGGCCCACTGGGTGCTTAGATCCGGCCATCAGGGCCGGCCTGGAAACAGGAAAGGACCAGCCTGTGGTGCCTCTGCCAGCAAAAATGGAGCTCAGGGGTGTGCACTGCCCCCCCCACCCCCCCGGGTCCATTTTTGCTAGCAGAGGGCTATCTAAACAAACTAAAAAAACAAAAACAAAAGGAGAAATGTTTCCCCTTTTACATTTGAGCATGCAAGACAGGACAGGAAAGGAGACAAGGAAGGAGGAAAGACAAAAGAAGAAGGAGGAGGAGGAGGAGGAGGAGGAGGAGGAGGAGGAGGAGGAGGAGGGAAGATGGGAAGAGAGCAAGGAAGGAAAAATAAGGAAAGAGGGGATAAAAAAAAGGAAAATGAAGAGGGAAGGAAAAAGGAAAAAAGAAAAAGGGAGGGAGGGAGGGAGGGAGGGTCTCAGGGAAGTCCTGCCTTAGCACTTGGCCACCACAGGTGCCCCCAACATGAGTGACATCGAGCTGGCCACAGTATACCCCCTGGCCCTCCAAGGTCAAATACAACCCTGATGTGCCCCTCAATGAAATTAAGTTTGACACCCCTGATCTAGATGCATATTTCTGTGTAGTTATGGAGAAATCTCTTGATTTACAATCACTTGTTTAATGGTGATTCAATGTTATTATGGCTTTGGAAAAAAGAGACTTATGGCTTGTTCTCACATTTATGGCTGTCACACCACCCCTTGGTCACATAATTTCAGTTTGGATGTCTGGCAATTTACAACTGGTTGTAGGATCAGGAACATTTACAACTGGTTGCAAGATCTTCAGTCATATAATCTCAATTTGTGGCCTTTTTTGCCAATTTCCAGGATAAAACAATCTTTGTGGAAGCTGAATTCACTAAATGACTGCATGATTTGTTTAACAACTGTAGTTATTCAGTTAATGATGCCATAAACATTTTAATAAAATCAGGTCCAACTTGACTTACGATCTCAATGACTTACAACAGAAATTCTGGTTCTAATTCTGGTTTAAATCAACGATTATCTGTATTAGCTTCCTGCCACTCTAACTGCCACTTTCAAATTGTAGAAAAAGGACAGGAGATGGTAAGCCACAGTTTCTAGATTTCTAGAAGCTGTGGTTTACATCTCCTGTCCTTCTTTTACAACTTCAGTGTATACAATGCTACAATGGCTATTGTACTCTTCCTACATCTATTGATTTTTCATAACATATAATAAGCTCACTAATTATTCCAATTTACCTCATTTCATTTCAAAACTACCAATTGCCAAAACTCTCTATGCAATTTATGAATTAATTCATCAATTTAAGAAGTACAATTATATTTTGAAAAAAAGCAGGAAAAAATGCACACCATATTCTGATAAAAATTATTCAAATGCTAAAATGCATAGCATATCTCCTTAGCTGTTTTCCATATTTATATTTTAGGGCTGTCTTTAATCTAAGCACAAATAGATCAGGGGTGGGTTCTACTTACTTTTACTACCAGTTTGCAATGGGACCGCGTGTGCGGGTTGCTTCGCTCATGTGCACGTGCGCGCTTCTGTGCATGCAGAGAAGCTTCTGTGCATGCACAGATCACCCTTGATGATGTCATGGTGGGTGGGCAGAGCCTCCCGCCAATTTTGCTACCTGTTCTATAGAACCGGACAGAATCGGGAGCAACCCACCACTGAAATAGATATTGGCCTAAGGACCCACGCTTGGGAGGTAACAATGCTACCCCTCCGTCAAAATCACTCAAAAAATGCAAATGTTTGCATTGAAAGGCTGGTTATTGACCAAACAAACAAACAAATAATGTTCTTGTGTATTGGAAGGATATAGCACCATCTGTCAATGTGGCCTAGGGGTGCCATATACCCTTGAACTAGCACTGTTGTTTCATTATGTATATAGAGCCACGGTGGCGCAGTGGTTAGAGAACAGTACTGCAGGCTACTTCTGCTGATTACTGGCTGCTAGCAGTTTGGCAGATCAAATCTCACCAAGCTCAAGGTTGACTCAGCCTTCCAACCTTCTGAGGTCGGTAAAATGAGGACCCAGATTGTTGGGGGAAATATGCTGACTCTGTAAACCACTTAGAGAGGGCTGTGTACTGTGAAGCAGTATATAAGTCTAAGTGCTATTGCTATTGCTATAACATAACCCACACACATACCCACATTCACAATGCTACAGAATGTGATTTTAAAAAATCAAGATAGTGCCGCTGACAGTTCAATGGAAGCTGTAGCTGTTTTTGTGTGTATTGTACATTGGTCACACCATAGTAGCTGGCATTTTGACTATACTTTTGGGGTGATTCTATATCCATCCATCCACTTCATAAATAACCTGTTTTTAATTTTTGGATTATGAACTGGTATTGAGTTTATCTCATCCCTGTTAGACTCAAAATAATTTAATATTCAGGTGCACACCCTGAGGATTCAGATCTCTTTCCAAGGTTTGTGGCCTTTGAAGGTTTGGAGGTAGTCGCACCCTCCCAGTCCTTCTTCAAATTGCTCTGACATTGAAATTTTAAAAAACAAAAAAAACAAAAAAAAAAACCCAGAGAAAAAGCATCACATAATAAGGGGTAAGTATCTTGATATTTTAATTTAAAGTAATTTAAAATTAAATCAAATGAAGATATTGTATTATCTATGTCTATCTGTTTGCCCTGCCCTAGAGACTGCTTTTTGAAGTTCCATTACCAGAACACAGGTCAAAAGTAAAATGGGGGCTTTCAAATATCTAAAAAGTCATAGTTAATATCTTTTTAGTATCCAGTGTTAAAAATCTGTTTTAGGATTTTCATCTGCAAGTAAATTGTTTACATAGTCAGAAATTACATACTCCTCCTGGTTTAGATTTTAAAATAGGCCAGATAACTTCCTCCTGAAGACTCACAATGCAATAAAATATAATCCATTATTTCAAGATCGATATCATTACAGGGACAAAACCTTTGAGAGATGGAAATTTTTAAAAATCTACCACATAGTTTATTTATTGACAATGCATCTATTCTGGCTTTAATCTGAAATTTTGAAAATATTTAAATATATACTATTTAAATGTTTAGGGAGTTGAAAAATATGTCTATAATTAATTCCAGATGTTGCAGGTGAACATGATACTTTGGCTTTGGCCATTAATTCCTTTATCTTTGATATAATTAGAGGTGGGTTTCAGCAGGTTCTGATCAGTTCTGGAGAACCGGTAGCAGAAATTTTGAGTAGTTCAGAGAACCGGTAAATGCCATCTCTGACTGGCTCCATCCCCATCTATTCTCCGCCTCCCGAGTCCCAGCTGATCGGGAGGAAATGGGGATTTTGCAGTAACCATCCCCTGCCACGCCTACCAAGCCACGCCCATCAAGCCACACCCACAGAACCGGTAATAAATTTTTTTGAAACCTACCACTGGATGTAATGAATTGTCAATACTGGGCAATAAATAATCGGGATCCATGCAAATTTGATCATTCTTTTGAGGCACCTGTTTGAACCACATATCTACAAAAGATTCATTTGGGATTTTCTTCCTTGGTTTTTTAAAACCATGCTTTTGTAATCAAAAATGGTTAATCAAGGCTTTGCTGTCAAAGGACATTGTCCAGCTTCCAAGAGAATAGCAGAATTTGGAACATGACTTGGGACACTTAAAAGACATCTTAAAACACTCACCAGCAGTTGTGCTAGGTTGTTATTAGCAAATGTCAATCAAATCAAAGCTCCATATGAAATTTGAAATGCAATTTTGATATTTAAAACTTATATTGCTGCAGGAACAAATCTTCCTCCTTTTAAGTAAAAAAATTGAAGCAAGAAGATCATAATAGATTTTGCTTTCAGAAGTAATCAGTGAAGAGTTGAAGAAGAAATAGTTGTGTTTATTAAATATTACTATTTAATTAAGAAATATTAATGTTTATATGTTCCAGCAAAGGGTTACTTCACCAGCCTGTATTTCTCCTTCTTAAATCTAGAACTGAAGCACCACTAATTTTCAGAAGAAAGATGGTTCAAAACCTCTCCCTTGCCATCACATCGGACTTTGTGATGTCACATCTAAACAGTCCCAGAAATGTGACCAATGCTACACTGACAGCACTTCAGAGCTACGTGATGCAGACGGTTTTGCCAGCCCTCTTCATGCTCAACTGCTGCATCAGCATTCCTCTCAATGTAATCTCCTTGTGGTTCCTTTGTTGGTATTCAAGGCCTTGGACTCCCACCATTATATTTTGCATTAATTTAAACATTGCAGACTTACTCTATGGCTTTGCCCTCCCCTTTCAAATAGCCTACCATCTAAAGGAGAATAATTGGCCTTTTGGAGACGTCTTGTGTCACATTGTCACCATTCTGTCATATGGGAACCTCCATTGCTCCATTTTAACCATGATGAGCCTTAGCATTGAGCGATACCTAGGCATTGTCCACCCATTGCGGTACAAAGCAGCAAAGCCAATTAGGGCCTCTTTCCTGGTGTGCATCAGCATTTGGGCCCTGGTTTTACTAACCCTTTTCCCTCTCATGCAGCATAAGCTCACCATTCATTTACAGCAGCTCCCTATCATCACCTGCTTTGATGTTTTGCCAAAAGAAATGTTTAGCTCCAAAGAAAAATTTATTGCTTATTTTGGATCCCTGCTCTTTCTATTTTTCTTCCTACCATTGATCATCATGGGGTTTTGCTATATCTCAATCATATTAACACTTCTCCATTCATCTTCTCAGTTCAGAGAGAGCAAGAGGCAGACTGTCTACTTCATCGTAGTGTTGCTATTCCTGATTACTGTTTGTTACCTCCCTCACATTGTCATGTCAGTGACTCATTATGTCCTCCTTTTCCAAAAGAAATCATTTTATGTGGAATACAAATTGTCACTTGCTACAGCCAGCTTTAATTGCTGCTTCGACCCATTTCTTTATTATTTTGGTTCCAAAGAGTTTCGACAAAAAATACAGAGGAAACTCTGCAAGTGTGTGGCAGTAAATTTCGGTGAAAATAGCCCAATTTTTTCACAGCATGACATGCAAATCATGCCAGTGCAAGAAGCACCGAAGATTTAACAATAAACATATTTATTACAATAAATAAACAAGAAAAACATTAATTTAACAATTCATACTGATAGATGTCCATACTGAAGGATCTGTTATTAATGGAAAGATTGGTTGGCTAGAAACAGAGACTTGCTGAACCATTTTCTCAGAACATCATGGATTGCACTAATAATCAAAGGATGTAGCTGATAGGTGTACTACATTCCTACAGTGCATGCTTTTTTTAAAACTGAGGATAGTTAGAAAAAGCTCTGTATAGATAGGTCTTACTAAATTGTGTGAATTGGTATAAAATTGACAATTGTCATAGCAATATGACTGGTATCGTTGAAAACATGGAGAGTCATATAGTTTAAATTAAAAATGGTTTCTGGTCTTTATATTGAGATCTTAAATGAATATACTTTATGATCATTAAATGCTATAGGGATTTTCAAGTAATATTTAATAGGACAATAATCCATAGAAACAAGGGCCAACACTAAGACAATACTATACTAAGACAATACTTCTGCATGGCAGTTAGTTATTGAACAAAACAAGCCCCCACGAAATAGAAAAAAAATGTGATTCTCTTATTTCTGATATTTCTGTTATCCAAACATCAAAATATTACAACTCTGAAATAGATTTACTGTTTTAATGAACTCTTGATTTATCAACTGACTGTCGATTATGTGATTAAAGGCATGCTTGATGAGATAAGCTTGACCAGAATGAGGTATCATCATCATCATCAACAACATAATCATCATCAACATAATCATCATCTAATAAAATATATATGCTGCTTGACTCCTAGTTACTCTGGGCAGTTGTCCTCCATGAACAATAATCTCTCATTTTAAGTATATTTGAGTATACTCAAGGTATACTCATGATAAAAGTGTTCACTTGCAGTATTGAGGCACCATCCTGAAAGCAGCCAAATATTTAACTAATTAATATTTCTTGCATTTGGATTTTTTGGACTGTTTTTGTAACATGGCATGATTTGTTTAGATTTTTTTTTAACCTGATCTCTTTCTATGATATAATTTTGTTGGCAATTTTCAATGAGGCAATATAGGGGTTGATGAAACAAAATTTGTGTTACCTAGACTTCATAGAAACCATGCATAAACAGTTATATATTATCTGAAGAACAATGTATAAATAATTGTCATCTAAAGTTATCAGTCACCATCTGAGCTCCCAAAATATATATTAGAAGTAGAAGTCATCTATACACTGGACATCAACCCATATTTATATGGCAGGTCAAACTGATCATTAAAATCAACTTTTTATGTTTCAAATTACTAAAGAAATAATCCCAAATAGATTTGTTAGCTTTCTTATCCCATGTTAAAGAAAATATTGGCTTCTTCAACCATAGTTTACTATAAAAACTGCAAATTAATAAGTTCATAAACATGCTAACCAACCAATCAATCAATCACCCACCGTAATGGCTGGGTTCACACAACTTCCTTATCCCATTCTACCAATAACTTTATAGTTTATAGTTTTGCATGGATCATTTTGCATGGATCAAATCACTGTTAGTTAAAGTGTTACAAGAATAGGCAAAAGCTATTTTACTTAAATTATGGATAGGATTCAGAGGCATGAATATCAATTGATGTTATGCCACTGATCTCTGAAATTAAGTTCAGCTTTGGCATATATACTTTGGAAAAACTACCAGAGTATTTAGAGATCTATTTGAAATTAAATATTTCAGTGTTTTCCTGATTTCTATCTTCAGTACAAACATCAGATTACTAACCTAAAAATTCTATTTCTAAATGCAGTCCAAATATATCATATTAAGCTTATTTTTTAGTTGGTTCTAAAGTAGAATATTTTATAAAGTTGACTTATTTTACTACAGTGCTATTTTTACATTATGCTTGTGAATAGGCTTATTTATTAAACACTTGACAAGTTAATCTAGACATAGGCAAACACTTTGTTCATCCAAAATACTGTAGTTCTTCCCACCGCTACATACACCTGCAAATATATTGAGTATTGTATACCTCAGCAGGCATATTAACTTGGGTAGTGAATAAGGAAGATGACATTGAAGGAAATGTGTAAAAACTTTCATGGTTCTTTTTTAAATTCAGAACAATGAAATAACATTCAGAAGAGGCTCAAGCAGATGCCACCTTAATTCATATATCCTTAGGGAAGCAGATGTTGCTGCTAATATAATAATTTTTGTTAGTGTTTGTAATGTCTGAAGAAGATGACTGTGAGATGGCATTGGTGAGTGAAAATTGGGTTCCTATATCATTCTTATTTTGGGCTGCTCCAGAGAACTGATTATGAGACACTATTATATCAAGATTGCAAGGTAAGGTAAGGTAAGGTAGGATAGGGAAGGGAAGGGAAGGGAAGGGAAGGGAAAGGAAAGGAAAGGAAAGGAAAGGAAAGGAAAGGAAAGGAAAGGAAAGGAAAGGAAAGGAAAGGAAAGGAAAGGAAGAGAGAGAGAGAGATGGAAGGAAGGAAGGAAGGAAGGGAAAGAAAGAAAGAAAAAGAAAGAAAGAAATCAAATTAACATTTATTAGAGCAGTAGGTGAACTGGTGAGAAAAATGAAAATATTAAATAAAATGATCCATAAATGACTCAATTACTGTATAATAAAAGGCTTAAACAAGCAAAACCACATAATTGACTAAAATTATTAAATCAAAACAATCAGAAATAAAACATAGTCCAGAACAAGCATATTAATTCAAATTTGGTAAATATATTTACCAGAGATACGGAGGATCCCGGATCTGCGCACCTTCCGCCGCGCTTTAAAGACCTTACTATTTCACCAGGCGGGCCTGGCCTAATTTTCCCCCCCTTTTATAAAAGATTTTTAATTTTTAAATATCTTTTAGTATTTTATACATTCAATTTTAAATTGGTTTTAAAAGTTTGGGGTTTTAAATTTGTCGGGGCCAAAATTATTTAATTTGATTTTATTCTACTTTTAAATTTTGTATGTATGTGTTTTATTGTTTGGCTGTGCACCGCCCTGAGTCCTTCGGGAGTAGGGCGGTATAGAAATCAAATCAAATAAATAAATAAATAAATATATTAAATTCAAAAACATTGCTAGCCCCATTGCTAGGATAAGCAAATTGAAGCTATTTAAATATTTGATCATTTAATACTTTCAACTTCAGTGAGAGCATTCCCAGTTACAGGAAATGGTTTCAGGTTCAACTGCTAAAAGTATAAGCAAAATTAAAGAAAGACATTATGAAGAATAAAAAGTTTTATTCTAGCTAAAGAAATTCAAAGAAAATAGTGCTTTTTCATTGCTGGAGAAAAGCCTAGATTTGAAGGCATTGAGCGGCATGTTCCATAACTTTGAAGAAGAAAAATAATAAGTATTTTTATTATAGTCTTACATGAACTATTGGTTAATTTAGATCCACTTATGTAAAATCTGAGGTGCTGATTTTACACCATTAACAGATATTCAGCATTCCATAACTACAGTATTCTTCTTTCATTCATTTACAACTTTTAGTATTTTTAATAATCACTTTATCAACTTTTATCTACTCTTCTTCACTTGCACAAGCCCAGTTTCTATTTTTTATACTTTCCCTGTTTTTCCACGATTTCTATACTTTGACTCTATGGATTATTTCCATTTTTTAATGTATGTTATTTATTTCTTCATTTATTTATATCCTACCTTTATTATTTTTACAAATAATTCAAAGTAGGAATATATCCAACACACCTTCCTCCTCCTATTTTCCTCACAACAATCACCTGTGAGGTGAGTCAGAGAGAGTAACTGGCCAAAGTCACCCAGCTGGCATTCATGGCTAAGGCGGAACTTGAACTATAATGTCTTGCTTTCTGGCCAGATGCCTAAACCACTAGACCAAATTGACTCTCATATATCTTCCTATCTTATCATAGTTATAAGTGCTGTAGTTCTCATTGTATTGTGTTGTAAGTATATAAAATATGTGTCATGTTTTTTTCAGTCTTGTATTGTTATACCATTTCTTCCATGGTTTATTTCATATGCTGTCTACCAACCCTTGTGCAGAGAATTGAACCTGAAGAAAATTTGCTGTCTGCACCACCTATCTCTGTCATATCTACATTCTGGGTTGCTGCTTGATAGTGGTACTGTGTTCTGTTTTGTGATGAACAAGACTCGTTAGAAAAAGACACTGCTTAATTTTTCAAGTTTGTTGTCCTTCTTTTCATCTATTTATTTATTGATTTGCTTGTTTATTTATTTTGATTGGCTGCCCAGTTCCAATGGACTCAGAGAGGTGTACAGTACAAAACTAGAAAAAAACATAAAAACAACTAAAATCATTAATTGAAATGAGCAGTACAAGCAACAGTAGCCTAATATCAACCAAACAAAACAGGGTCCATTAATCAAATAATAAACATCAATTTCAGGCACGGGACCAAAGTCAGGTTTTGAAAGTTTCTGGAAACCCGGAAAACAGAGTTTCATGTTTCTCAGTGTTGCCAACCAGCAGGAAATCATCTACCAACCATAACACTGCTGTGATTGGAGGATAGTTATGACAGACCTAAGTGTTTAGCAAGCTTTAGAATGTAGCACTTTCCCAAGTCTGTCAAAAAGTGAATCTGTGGATGGAGAGGGCCAAGCACTTCCCATTAAGTGGACAAGGCTCTTCAGGTTATTCACCAAATAATTCACTCTATCCTAAATATTTATTCTCTGGTTCTCCTACTGGACAACTGATCAGAGATAAGACTGTATCCAACAAAGCAATGAAACCTGGCTATGCACTCTCCACTACACAGATCAAGCATCATATGGGCTTGCAGATGGTCCATGGGTGGTGGGATCTTCCTGATAAAATGGGAGAATATTTCCTTGTTTTACTGGCCAGCATCCCCACCTCTTGGATCAGATGTTGGGCAGGTCTAAAGAATAATAACCATGACAATATTTTGTGTTGAGCAAGTTAATACAAATTAAAAGAAAAAATAGATACATTATGCCTCCTTCAGTCACTGGGTCCTGCAAATATCAGTGGAGAGTCCTGGACCTTTCCCATGAACATCTCTGAGAGCTTTGCCAGGACATTTTATAAATAAGAACACAAATCACTTTTTTTTGACAAATTCCTACATGGTATACAGAAAAATGCACCAGAGAAAAAAAAGCAATAACCATGGAAATAAAAGCAGATACTCATACATTCTATTTGTTGGACTTCAGGGGACATTTGCCAGGTTAATAGATGACAAAGCTGGGAAATGGGGCTAATAAATCAAAATGAACTGGACAGATTTCAACAGTTGGCTAAAATAAATAGGATGGAATTTTACAGGGATGAATGTAAAGTTCTGCATCAGGGTTGAGAAATGGAAGGCAGAAGTATAAATTGAGGAAAACCTGGCTTGGCAGTAGTACATGTGAATGTTCTTATTGACCCCAGGTTAGATTTGAGCTAGCAAAGTGATGTAGCAGTTAAAAAGATAAATGCATCTCTAGGAGCATAGATCATGGGAAGTAATTGTCTCACTCTACCCTGGCCTGATTAGACCCCACTTGGAATACTAGGTCAGTTATAGACACTCCAGCTCAAACATGGCATTGATAAACTGGAATAAATT